AATTTTCCGTACATTGTGGGAAAATGCTCCTCAGCACGCCCTTATGTGAGTATGCACCACTGACCCAGCATTCCCAGAAGGGTGAAACTCATGGTTTGCATAAAACCGGTCACAAGAAAAGAGGAATGAGATTTTGTTGTATAACAGGCTTCACAAACAAGCACACCTACAAACAAACAAATAAACCCGTTCAACAGAAATACATATTCTCTATAATCCTTGTTGGTCAACAAAATCCTTGTTGGTCAACAGATTGTGTAAGGACTAAGCAGATACAGATGCCCAAGATGCTTTATTTGGGAATAATGTCCTTGTGGCTCAACCGTGGGTGTGAATTCAATTAATCTGCCTGTTTCATGGTTCAATTTACTGAAAATCCCAGAAGAGGGTAAATTTGGCAGCAGGATTAAAGGTATGTGAATTAAGCCACTAAGGGGCAGAATTTCTCTTGTACTTTTTCTTTTATTCAGAGAATCGTAAGATACAAAAGGACCACGTGGAACATCTGGTGACTATTACAGCTGCCCATTTGTTTTCTTCTTAGTAAGTTGTATGAAAGATGCATCAGATTTGGTGCCCCAAATCAGTTCTGGATAATTTCAACCAGGAAAAAGGACCAGCTTTATCCAACCTTGATTTGCTGGCCCTCTTCCCATTTGCTGCATTAGAGGTTTTCTGCTGCTTCCATTGGACGTTTTCAGAGTTTCATCTGGCTGTATTTCTTATTATTTTTGAGGATGCCCAACCAAAAGTCCCCCTTCCTCCCAGTCCAAAAGCCTGGTATCTGCATACAGCAACTGCACCTTCATTGTCTGTAGAGGTTCTCAGTCCTCCAGGTCATGGCTGTCCCAAAGATGCTTTTTCAGGAGGCAACTGGACTTTCTAGTTTCTCTTTGAAGATGTTTCACTTCTCATCCAACCAAGAAGCTTCTTCTTCAGCTCTGATAGGGCAGTGAGGAATGGAAGGATTTATATTCCTTGCAGACAGCTGGTCATTTGCATTCTTTTTAGAGGGTCATTGAAGCACTTGAAGGTTTATCTGTGTCCTCAGGGTCACCTGAGTTGTGCTCCTGATTCCTGTGGTTCCTGTGTGCAATTTTTCAGACTACAGGAATGAGGAGGACTACTCAGGTGACCCCGAGGACACGGATAAGGCTCCAAGTGCTTCAGTGACACACTAAAAATCTCCATAGACCGTTCTCATCCTGGACATTCATATTTCGATCTGTTACCATCCGGGAGGAGTTATAGGTGTCTTAAAATGAGGACTAATAGATTGAGAAACAGTTTCTTTTCCAAGGCAGTAATTGTCTTGAATCAAACAGTGCAATTGTGATTTAGTCCTATTAGTATTATTATAATTATTTTAATTTTTAAATACTCTGTAGTGTGATTGTGATGTGGTGTTTGGGGCACTGTGCTGGAATAGCTTGCTAATTTCATTGTATTCGTGGAATGCAATGACAATAAAGGTATTCTATTCTATTCTATTCTATTCTATTCTATTCTATTCTATTCTAT